GTCGTCATTTGTCCGAAGAGGAAGGTTTGCCAATGATCAGCAGCCATTTTCAGTTTGGTTTCATGTGCACAGAGCTTTGCAGCTGCTTCATTTCATCCAATAATTGGCTGAAATCAGTAACTCGATGACAGATTTACAACAATTTACTGACCAATAAACATTCACATTATGTCTCTAATTGCATCTGTGAAAGTCAAAGGATATCTATCTATCTATCTATCTATCTATCTATCTATCTATCTATCTATCTATCTATCTATCTATCATGTAAAGAATTCTGGTCAGATCCCCGAGAGGATTATAGAGCCCGCCTTCACAAAAAGATGGTCGTTGAACTTATTACCAAAAATGTTTTGATAAAAACAACATGGATGAGGATTCTTTTTCTGTTACGTGCCAAATCCTTTCAAGACGTGGGTGATCATGACTCTCTATAACTTTCTTTTTGGCTACAATTTGCCATCCTTCATTGTCACTGTTTTGATATTCTTTCACACAAACTTAGTAAGAAATTTGGCGCTGTTTTACCTTGTTTTTCAAGCATACACGATACCTTGTGAGTGTATCCCAATAATTTCAAATCTCTTTTTCTGATTATAAATATGTCTCCTTTTTTCCCTTTGGAATAGCTAAATATGCATTCCAAAAGCTAAGCAGAATACTAAGAAATAGAAAAACTTCGCCAGAAACAAGGTAAAGTGTAGTTACAAGTTACATGTCCTCCTGTATGGCAGTGAGTGTTAGACAATCTCAAAAATGAAGAAGAGACTTGAAGCAACAGAAAATGGAAACAAAAAAGGAACTTATACTTAACATCAGAAAGGGACAGTTGAAATTTCTAGGGTTCCTAAAGAAGAAAGAGTGCTTGGAGAATATGATACTCATAGGGCAGATTGAAGGCAAGAGAGACTGGGAAAACATCGCATAACCTACTTAGGGTGTTTGAGTAAATGGATGGAGGAACTGGGTTTAGGAGAAATAACAAAAAAGAGAAAACTTTTTAAGAGCTACAAAGGGCAGGAAATTGTGGAGAGTCATGATTGCCTACGCCCTGAGGGGACATAGCACATAAAAAAGTATAGATTTGCGTAACAGTTTCTTTGTTTCTAATGATATTTTCTTATTTCTTCTTCTTCTTCTTTTTCTACGTGCCATGTCCCTTCAGAACGTTGGCAATTGTGGCTCTCCACAATTTCCTGTACTTTGTATCTCTTAGTCATTTTTCTATCTCTCCTAAAACCTGTTCTACCAACCAAATCCGTCAGGTAAGGTTATGTGTGCCTTTTCCCTCTATGTCCCTCTGTCCCTTCAATATGTGTCCTGTGAGGATCAAATTTTCTAAGCCCCCTTTTTACCCATTATGTACCTTAGAAATTGCAATTGTCTCATTCTGATATTAAGTATAAATGTCCTTTTTGTTTCCATCCTTCTGTAGAACAACATTTCTGTAACTCCATGTCTATTCTTAATCTGTAAAGAAATTCTCTGGTCTTACCTGTCATATAGGAGTAGTGATATTGCATAACAGTTCACTGCTCTTTTCTTTATTTCTAATTAAATTTTCCCGTTTCTTAATACGTTGCTTAGCTTTTGGGAAGCATCGTTCGGATTTCGTTATCGCACTTTCTGTCCTCTGTTGAATCACTTCCCAGATATATAAATTGCTGTAGTTGTTTTATTGTGGTATCTCAAATTTGTAATTTTCATGTTGGGCTGTTCCTTTTGCTAACAACCATGCATTCTATCTACTTGCAATTGATGTTTAGTCCTTTCTTCTCGCTTTCCTTCATTATACTTTGTAGGAATTCATGTAGTTTTCTTTCTGTGTCTGCTATCAACACTTGTTTGCATATCTTATATTGTTGAAATTGCGCCCGCCTATAACGAATGCTGGTAGGAGTTCGAATTGTCTCAGAATCGCCTCACTGTATAGATTGAATTAATCCGGTGAGAAGACTCATCCTTGTCTTACATCCCTTTCTATTTTTGTATATTTACTGAATTCATTTTCTATTCTTAGGCAGGCAGTTTGTTCCTAATATAAGTTCTGGATTATTCTAATATGACTCCTCCCAAATATATCAAGGTTAACTAGCAGAGCCAAGAATTTTTTGTGATTAACGTTTATCATATGCTTTTGCATAATTAAAAAAAATCAGAGCTATACACCCTTTTGCATTTCTATCGCCCTTTGTTTCTTAATACTTTGCATATTTTCTGAAAGGCATTCTTCTATTATTACGCCTTTGTCACATAGTACGAATAATAATTCATGGAATAACGACAATACTTATTTTCATAATCATAAGGACGAAGAATTCAACGGCCGAGTTGTTCTGATAAACATAATAAAGATAAGGATACCAATCTGCATAATTTATGGAATAATGAAAATTAAACCCAGAACTTTAAACATAAAGGAAAGCCGTAAAATGCAATGGCGGAGACGGCGTGATAAAAAGTATAAAATAATCATTCTAAACCAAATAATAATTCATGAATTAAATGTAAGTATGAAAAAATAAGTACGTAAATTCTTAACCTTACACAACAAAAATTCCAGCATTCAAAATTCGAAACATTGGAATCAAAAGAATGAAAATGAAGATACCCATCTAAATAATAACTGCAGTAATACGAATAGGTCATTTGAGCACTTGAGACAGTGGTAACATGAAATGTTCTAAACGTAGTCATTGGAGATAAACGGCAAATGCAAAACAATAAATCTTTTTTAGAAAAACATCTGTAAATCGATTGTTGATCTTAAATAATCCGTTTTGTTTACTCCCCGACAAACCTCTTGAATAAAAACATTTTCATTTGAATCCCGTCTCTTATGACGCCACAGCACAAATATTGGCAATGATGGCGTATTCTGTTGTCTACTAACTTGTAGGAAAAGTTAAAATGTTAAGTAATCTTCATCGTTAATTTTAAGACAGGTACTTGAAAACCATTATAAGATGTTTGCAAAAGCATCATAACAGTTGGCGCACCTTTTATTCGCTGTTAATGCCAGTATCAAGTGGACTGTGGGTAGTTTCCAGCGTCGACTTACACAAGTACACCTATCGTGCAAGTCGGTTGTGCTTTTAACAACATGAGTCAGAAAAACATTAATATATATATATATATATATATATATATATATATATATATATGATTAGATAAAGAACAAATGGGAAACGTTTATCAATCTAACATGTTTCAAAGAAATTCTAGTATTTTTACTTGTGTTGTTTGATTTTCACTGGTTAATCATGTATCACGTGCATTTGACGCTTTTAAACCAACGTTAGTATAATTTTCGTTTTGAATTCAATGCGTGATGATGCGTCCATCGGAATTTTCCAGAAATGCAGGTGGTTCTTCTACATTTCTCAGTCTCTGACGAAGCTTTGATGAAAAGTGAAACATGTTACATTGATAAACATGTCCTATTTGTTCTTTATCTTAACATATATCTGACATATATTTCTAAAGAAAGGGATGGATTTTTTTATTTATAATCCGACATATTATTAAAATCTGTCGGATTAATAAATAAAAAAGCCATTTTAACTTTTTTAATGGATACTCATATTTGAGTAAACGCTCCGTTTATTTTTCAGATAATAGCTTTTTTTTCGTCTACGAGAATTTTCTATTGAATATTCGAGAAATCTTAAAGAAAAATATGTGCTCTACGGCAGGATCGGTACCCGCATTCCCACAGGGGAAACCGTTATTGGATCTGACATGCCTGAGACCTATCGACCTGGGAGTGCGTCGATGGTCAGGAAAAGTTGATAATACCTTTAATATTCAGGCCGGTAGACGAAAATAAATAGATATACTTAGAAAGCGTCTACTCAGATACGAGTATCCACTTTAAATAATGTTTAAGTAATTAGAAGTATATATATATATATATATATATATATATATATATATATATATATATATATATATATATATATATATATATGTATGTATGTTCTATCACACACATAAGATGGTGGAGAACTGGACTCCCTGAACGTATGAGCTGAATTGAGAGTCCAGCATGTCAAATTTGACGAGAAAAATATTTTTGCATATTTTGTTTTATTTAGTTGGCATGTAGGAGGACAGTGCATTTTTTGAAAACATCACACAGTTGTTGCTCCTACAACCATCATTAGTATTTGATACTGAATTTCAGTTTTCAAATAGTTTTCGTTTTAAATGAACGTCGGATATATCATTAATTAAAGTCTGATAAGGTAAAAATTCTAAAATATCTAAAAATATAAGAATTAAAATAATGAATTATAAAATAATAAATATAATCTAAAAGGATAATTAAATGAGAAAGAGAATGTATATAAATGTATAGATCCATAAAGACGTATGCTATATATATATATATATATATATATATATATATAACTGATTATCTATGCATGGAAAAGGAAAATTATGTTACAATTGCATACCTATTTCTAAGTTATTCACTCATTTTCAGTACACTTCTACATTCTGCTTTTATACCATCTATGCATCTGTCTGTCTGTCTCTGTATCTATCTCTCTCTCTCTCTCTCTAAGAAAAAAAAATTAGATCGCATGAGAAATTGTATGAAAAACTAAATAAAACCACCTTGTCTGTCGTATTCAATGAAATTCTTTCATGCACATTGAATACGACAGACAAGGTGGTTTTATTTAGTTTTTTATACAATTTCTCATGCGATCTAATTTTTTTTTTCTTTTTAGATGATAAATTATATAAAAACTGTCCGAATGTTCTTTTTATCCGAGCGCTTTTGGCTATACATGGGGTCAAGATATTGTGTCCATCAATATCACAGAAGGGTTTCCATAAAAGGAAAAGAAAAATAATGATAGTAATAATAAGAAGGAACAAGTAAAAACAAAGAGAAGAGAGTAACAAAACAATAGAAGGAAAAAAGGGGGGAAAAGGAAAAAAGAATTAAAAAGAAAAAAAAATAAGAGAAGTATAAGAGTTAAGAATAATTAAGAAATAAAGTAACATGTGGAAAATTCCAAAGAGAAAGAAAAAAAAGGGGGGAAGAAGAAAATAGAATAGGAAAACGAATAAGCGAGGAATTTACATGAATAGAGAACCGAAAAAAGGAGGATAAAGAAAAAGAGAGAGAAAAAGAAGAATTCTACATCAAATAATGCTGTTCACTCAGTAATAATTCGTAGACCACTTAAAATGTTTTCTTTCCTAATTCCTAATTCATTTCTATAGTAAAATAATTTTTAGTGCTATGCTACCATTTTAATTTTTCACTGAGATAACAAAACAAATGTAAATTGTTATGCAAATAAGATATTGGGAGTCGTGAGCGTTGTGGTAAAATACTGACTAGCGTCTTCCATATTTAGAACATAGTTAGAAATTTTTACCATTGAAGTCCCAAGATCAGATTTAGAAATTCAATTCAATCCTTTTGATTTTCTTCTCTAAAATGAATATCCTAAATTATGGGCGTTGTGGTTAGAATGGATATCGGCTTGGGATGAAGAAATCCGATTTCGAATTCCAGTCAGGTTCGTTACATTCACTTATGCACAAATAACCTTCTCCCCCACCACCTATAGGTTGAATAGCACGACAAACTGGGTTCTATAGCCTTGGTTGTCAGCCAGTCTACCGTCGAAAGAAAAGGCAACCTACTGCAGGAAAATCTTCTCCCTAGTTAGTCATGAATCGAAAGAGACATGGTCTCCCATTCGTGTATCATGTAGTGCATTTAATTGGCTTAAACATCTGTCTCTGATGTCCGTTTTTGTTGTTGTGGTAATTATTATTCCTATATCCACTTATTGAAATTTGTCAACCATCTTTATTGCAGCTTTTGTCTTATTTTACTGGGGGGAAATCATTCATAATCGAAAGGGACATAATCATCCAAGCCTTGCATCATGTATGACACTGATTAATCCTAAATGCAATCAGATATTTTTATTTACTAGTATTCAGTCAGTACAAGGTTCGAGAGTCACACAATGTATAAAGTTAAAGTTAAAATGGTTCTGATATATGTAGGGTGTAATATAAATCAAACAGTAGATTACAGCAAGTTTATTAGGATGTGGTGGACGGATAGCATTTTGTCATTGAGTTGAAGAGGTTTAAGATTTCAGTGTTGATTGAAGCACGACAATGTGGTAGTTCTTGGGAAAAAAACTTGTTTGGGTGGATATTTGGTTCTTAACTTTGGAATACTGAGGACTCTGTTATAGTAGCATGACATGTCCTGGATGTAAAGGAATGAACTGGTAGAACTAAAGATTGGAGCTCATCTGAACATTTGCCATGGAAATAGAGATAAAGTAGCGATAAGTTGTAGGAAATCCCCTGTCATCTCAGGACGTAGGCGATCATATCTCTCCACCGATTAGTTTTCTTTATTATCTGTGAATTACCAAATCATAACTTTGCACAATTTCCTTTCTCTTCATTATTTGTAAATTGCCATTGAGAAAGACAGTGAAGTGGTTTCCGGTTAGTTTCACTTTTCTTTCTTACTTGCCTATTTCTAAGTTGGGTTTTCCTGTAACGGTATGAGTCATGTAGCGATATCAGTAGTCAGCCGATATCTTGTTAAAGGAAAAATGTGAACGATATTACATAAATTGTTTAAACAGTTATTGTCTTGACAAAGAAGGTTAGCCTATAGAAAGCGAACCTCACAAAGACCCTGGCAAAGAAGGCTCAGCTGAGTGAGGCGGACTTGAATTACTTTTTTTGGACGAAAGCTGACAGAACAGAGAACACTGGTGCGCACCAGCATAAAAGACAGAGTACCGCGACGTGAAAAAGAAGGCAACGCCTCCATTGGACCGTTCGCTCCTCTACATTTCTCGCTCGTTTAATGCAGAAAGTTACAACAGAATAAAATTTGCTAACTGTTAAAACCTCGTCTTGTGGTTTTATTTCGTGGGGAAAGATCCGACCAAAGTGTTATTTTCCATGAATTAAACCAAAAGCGTTCGACTGGAAAAAGCTGTATCCTAAGAACGAAACTGGAGTTTGGTTTCAGTTGCAACGCTACAGTCACATAAGTTATATATTTGTTTGCTTTAACGTAGCCCTTGAAGAAACATATCATCTGATAAAGAAAGAGGAAATAGAGCAGGCCATTTACCTAATAAGTTTAATAGAATTCGTCAATTATTGCTCTGCCTCTCCCTTTCCTCATAATGTTCTGAAACGATCATTATGTGCAGTGGTCAGACTTAGTAAACATTTTGTTTTTCACTTGCAATCCAAGTGACCTAGCTACAATTAGCGATCGTAATTGGTACTAAAGTTTACAATATCTAAATTTCAGAGATGAGATCTCCTTGCCGTTGCCAATGACGTTCCTCTGCCAAACAGATGTAAGATATAATTGGAAAAAAAGATTCTGTTTGTACGTATCACCTCTTTTACTCCCACCCTGCATTCCAAAGGTGGAATTTCTGATCTGGGTTTACTCTTCTATTGCTTATATTACCTTATCTTCCTAAATGGTTCCCTATCTATGTTGCTTAACTTTGGGATCGAACGAGAACTGGGGCTTTCAGCTTAATTTAACCGTAATTATTTCTATAGCAAACTAATTTTCAATGTTTTTATCTGTATCTACATTTAACACATGAAATATTACAAAGGCCATGACAGAATTGACATATCAGTTAAAAAATCCTACCTGTTAAATCACAGGTTACATAAATCGGTAATATTGATATAATGATAAATACCAACGGGGATTCCTGTTGATAACTTGTCGATGCAGGATGTGTAATCTGTCCAAGTTTTGTTGGTTTCTGCTTTTCGATACCAAGTGCCACTGTTTGTACATTTCTTGTATGCAAAATCTACAAAAGGAAATTAAAATATAGTGCTACTTGAAACGTTACGAATTTAAGAGTAGAAAAACAATCTTTAGCATGGAATATTTTGTTGATTGGGTTATTGCAGAACTGTCCAACAAACAGAATTGACAAAGCTTGCAATAAACAACAAGAAAAAGAAAAGAACAAGGCAAAAATAATATAAAACAAGCAAACAATATATGCAAGGCAAATTAACAGTAATAAGGAAAAGCAACAGTAATATGACAAAAATTTCACAAACTAAGAATCGGGGTTGACATACAAGGGCATGTTCGGATAAGCGAACATAGCGTTCTGACTTCAAAACAAGATAAACCGAGATTGAGTCATTATTTATTGTATAAAATATACAATTGTTTCACAAAACCGAAAGGGAAACGGGGTGAGGTTGGTTGTTACTATCCCAACCCTTGCTAATGTGATTCGCAATCCATTGATTCGTTAGAATTTACTCAAACATTACAAGAACTCATTCATCTTATCCATTCATCTGAGAATACCGGATAATCTTTCTACAAAAAAACACCCATGACATAAAAATTTTACAATATATACAAATGTCTTTTTTGTTACTGTTTTCTTTCGTCTTTTGAAAATATATTACATCAAATGAATGGGGGTGGGATGAACCAATGACGAAAATAAAATGCAACAAAGCATTCAAACTTAAAGTAAATATATTAGTAGGATCCGACAGAAAAATTGAGTGGCTGCTGTATTCTGCCGATAGACAAAATCAAGATGCTTACTCACTAAAGGTGAGAGAAGGACAAAATAAATTGTGGAGTAGGAAAAATGAAAAGCTGACCAAGTCAAGATAAAAAGAGAGAATATGAAACCGAGAACTGGCCTGTTTTATTGGCTAGGGAGAAATTCCATCATACATTCGTGTGCTTCTGACGAAGGGAGAGTCATTCCTACTCTAGATTGGAAACAACAGCTAGAAAATGATTAACGGGATATGAACAAGAAAACGTAAATGTTAACATTGATAAACATTCAAATAAATGACATAAAGATGACGAGCAAAGAAATAAGTGAAAAAAATTCAAGCTTAGGTCGAAGCTGAAAATATAAAAAAAAAAACTACATAAAGCACTGTTACGGTGTGGAACAGACTCCCGAGAGGATGCTTCCTTATCCACTAAAATCTTAACCTCTTCAAATCCTATAGACGGCAAAAGCGTTGCTAAACTTTACTTAGAACTACTAAGGTTTTGAATTCAGAGTGTGAATTGAAAGTTAGGAAGCCCATTCTGTATTGCTATTTAATTACAACTAAGGGTAACAGACGTATATCGTCTGAAATTACAACGGGTTTTTACGAATTTTTATTATTTTACGTTAAAAGAGTAAATAGAGGAAAATGAGACGCATTTTTTCCATTTGCTGATTTTTTATTTCCAGAAAGGAAAAAAAGTAAGCCGTTTTACGAATTTTGTTATATAACTTTATATATATAACATAATTCGTAAATTGTTCGTTAGGTTCATAAATTAAAATTAAGACCTTGACAACCGACAACGTTCCAGCAGGCCTGCAGTCATTAATGATGATCGCTGAAATGGAACGCTGATTTATAATCCAGGTATCAAGACTTTGGAAATCGCAAAGGTACTCTACATATTTCTTGTAAGGCATTTGAAAACCTTAGTGACGTCAATCGCTAAGATGGTTGAGATTTGCATTTCCATCTGCAAATCTTTGAACAAAAGAAAAGAAAAACGAATCATCTTTTAAAAGAATGATCATAGGAAATGAAAACTGAATCGCTTGCAACAATGTGGAATAAAAATAATCCCGGGGCGAACGAAATGAGCCATTGATATCCACTGCAAAAGCCAGCCAGCATTCGAAGATAGTGTTGCTGCATATTTGATGGTATTGAAATGGCATTGGGTATTGAGAGCTCCGTTTACAGAACATTCACTTCCATAGAGGAGGATTGATAATAGCTAGCAGTTTAACACTCTTCTCTTTGTTACTGACGAAATTTTTCAGTCTCTCAATACTTTGATTAACTTTTGGGAGGCATATTTCGCATTTCTAATGCACCTTAGGATGTTGGTGTCATATTTGTCTGTTATAACACTTCCCACTTTATTTTTTTTACTTGCGTGATTTTGAAGTCACCAATTAGTACTTTGCATAAATCCAGTAATGCATTACTTCAAAAATGAGCCGCACTATTTTTAAAATTGATAACTAGAGAAAGAATTCAATAATTCGCAGTATATTTATCTTCCACCGTCAAAATCTCAGGCGTCGTCATTGGCGGCCAGGTTAACTAACCATTTAATATCTGTCACTTGTTATCTGTTTCTCAAATTACCGCTGCCTGTTGATTTAAAATGATTACGATCTCCCAAGCTGTAAATATTCAAGAATACCGCGCGACCGCTCGTCAAATGTGTATCTTGAATACATATTATGCGATAAAAAGCCAATGCTAGATCACGTCTCATCATGGCGACGGACTGTAAAATATTTGCCTCCTTTCGGTACAAAATGGCAGGCAGTAATTGAAGTGTTGACACGAGCAAGTGAAAATAGTGCAAACAGTTTCCATGTGTATTCTGCTAGCTTTAATGGTAATGTCTGCAAATGTGAGAGAAATCAATTGACCGTTTTCCTGATTTTTTTTCTTATCCAGTATCATAAATCAAGGATTGATTTGAAGACATCTTTGGTAGTCATGCACCGTTAATCACGCGTCGCGTGAGAAAACGAAAGGGTGAAAAACACAAAACAAAAAACAGAAAAGAAATCTCTGGATTAATATAACGCCAAATTGAATTATCGAGTTTCTGGATATAATCTGAAACACTGAAACACATGTTATATACAAGGTGATACCCAACAATTGGATTAACTTGACACTGATTAATACCAAATAGCCACCATCTCGCAAAGAATACTGACTCACAAAAACTACTGCTCACAAAAGATCACAGTAAAATTTTGTAGTACATTAAAATGTTTTGAATATACATTTATAACTCCTATATAAATACAATGTAATTTTGGATAGAACCAATGATATCGATATATTTATAACTTTTTGCTATAAGTTGATCATAACAAGACAGAAGACACGATGGTGTAATGGATAGTGGCTCTGAATGAGAGCCAAGAGAACCAAGAACCATTATCGTTCGTTACATTGACGTACGCTTTTGGGAAAGGCAATACTCTTCATTCTTTAGATTAAACTTACGCTTTTGGCGAAGGTATGAATGGATCTCTTCTACTTTAAGCTATGGGTAAGTAGAGAAATTAACGGGACAGACTTGGCCATATGCCTTTGGTTGAACACTGGAGAAGCTTATTATCTGTCAGGTTATCTTGCCCAAGACACAACGTTGCTGTTCTGGCTACAGTACAGTTTGTGAAACCTACGGGTTACGGGTCTTGTCATCGTGAAAAAGAAAATGTAATTATCAACAATAATTTTAATTTCTGTTGTGTCTGCTTGTATTTACATCAAGCCGATGCCATAAATAAAGGCATCAATTCATTGAAAATGTTATTTACTAAGCTTAGCTTAATACGGGACAAAGGTACAAATATTAGGGGCAGTATATGAGCGCACTACATTATTAAAGGAGTTTTTATGGAAACAAAAACACATTTTTACTCAGAATAAGAAAGAGACAGTTAATATTTTTGGTGGGTATATAATGAGGAAAGGAAGGTTGGAGAATTTGACACGCACAGGAAATAGAGAAGGCAAGAGGAAAATAGAAAATGAGTTGAAAGGCCTCCTCAATATTGTAAAATCCTTCAGTGACGACATAGGTATGGACTTCGGATTAGATAAATGTGAAAAATTAACATTCAAGAAAGGTAGAATTACAGAAACACCCTTAATAGCTTTAGATTTTGTCACAAAGATTAGGGAACTGGAGCATGATGAAGCTTATAAGTACCTAGTAATTAGCGAAAGAGATGGCATACAACACCCCTAAATGAAGGAAAAAATAAGAAAAGAGTACTACAGGCGTGTACGTCTGGTACTAAATACTGAGCTAAACTCAAAAAACAGAATATCAGCCATAAACACATTGGCTGTCCCTGTGGTGCAATACAGCTTTAATCTCCTTAACTGGACCATAGCTGAAATTAAGCGAATGGACGCCAAAACGAGAAAGCTTCTCACTTGCTACCGCGTGCATCATCCCAAAGCTGATGTTGATCGTCTGTATGTGCCCAGATCCGAAGGAGGCAGAGGATTAGTTCAACTAGAACTGTCCTACAAAACTACAACAATTGGCCTCCAAAGATACTTGGAAACTACAGACTGGATGATGGTATGCGTCAAGGAACATGAAAGTAGTAAGCGTCTTTACTCCGTAATAAAAGAAGCCAACAAATTCAAAATGGAGTTTCAAATAGGCGTAGCGATGCAAGTACAGCACAATACTCCGGCTGAAACTGCAAAATACTTAAAAAAGACAGCAAAGACGAATGCAACCGACCAGATACAGAAGCGATGGAAAGATAAACCGCTTCATGGCCAATACTCTGCCCGTACCAAACAAGCTGACGTAGACAAAACCCGTACCCATCAGTGGCTACATAGTGCAGGGTTGAAAGCTGGAACTGAAGGTTTTATCCTTGCTGCACAGGACCAATGCTTGCTAACTAGGAATTATCAAGCACATATAATAAAATATTGTGTTAGCCCAAAATGCAGATTCTGTGATAAATATCCAGAAACGATTGATCATCTTGTATCAGGTTGCACAATATTGGCACCGACTGAATATAAAACCCGGCATGACAGAGTGGGCCAATATCTGCACTGGAAAATCTGCAACTTCTACGGGAAGGAAACTGAAAGAAACTAGTATGAACACCACCCAGATCCGGTTACGGAGATAGGACCTGTTACAATTCTATGGGATTACACAATACACACTGACAGAACAATCAAAGCCAACCGCCCAGATATTGTTATTAAAGACCACAAACAAAAAAAG